AATGAACTACATATGGTGCCATTTTATAGCCAAATTTTGGCACACATACCAATACACATATTAATATAATAATAATAGGATAATGTGGTTAATTCCACATATTTACAATAGATTGCATATTATGAGTCACTCATTCGAACATAATTCAACATATGATCTATTCCTTGTTGCATTATGTGTGTCGATTTGGTCGGTCCCAATTCGAATACAATAACAAATATGATCAAAAACCCTGATTGCATATTATGAGTCACTCATTCGAACATAATTCAAAAATATGACTATTCCTTGTTGCATTATGTGTGTCGATTTGGTCGGCCCCAATTCGAATACAATAACAAATATGATCAAAAACCCTGATTGCATATTATGAGTCACTCATTCGAACATAATTTAAAAATATGATCTATTCCTTGTTGCATTATGTGTGTCGATTTGGTCGGCTCCAATTCGAAACCAAAAATATCGTGTTCAATAAAGTATTCAATAATTTATAATTTTTGTGTATTTAGTACTCTCACAATTTATGTGGATAAAATGATAGTTATATAATGAGAAACTATTTTATGTAATTTTCAAATATATTCAATGCTTAATTTGAATTCACATATATAGTAGTTCAAAATAAATAATAATAATAATAATAATAATAATAATAATAATAAAACACTCTGAAGTCCGACTACCAACCCTACCAATACCAAATTAACAATCCCCTAGTTAAAAGTTTAAAACGATAACTTAGTTTGAATTTTGCATTGTCCAGTTGACTAAGTCAAAATCAAATCCTATTCTCAGTCAAAATAAATAACAAAATACACAGATGATCAGAAACGCGTTCGAACCAAATGCACACAAAAAATTGAATATATATGGGAGATTCTACGGTCCTGTTACGGAATCATTTCGTTAGAGTTTGTAACCGTTAAATCTATTATCCACGACGGTTACATAATTATTTACCGTTATAAATCCCTACGAAATAGTTCCGTAAGGAGACGGTAGCATTTCCCCAAAACAAAAGTTTATAAATAAACTTGTATATATTTAGTTCTTCTAAACTCTCCAAATCATTTTTTTATAATAATAATAACTAGTACAACACCCGTGTATTACACGGGTGCTTGCTAATTTTTTCTTAAAATCTAAAATTAATGAGAAAAAGTAGTTTGAAAATTTAAATACCTTTTATAAGAATATATATTATTATATATTTATTATGACACTTTTTATTTGTGTGACTTACTTGTGTTATATTATACTAATTTTTTTTTAACTTACAATATATAACTACATTAAATATAAATATATCAATTGAGAAATAATTTTATTTTTCTAATGAATTTTAATAAATATTATTATTTTTTATTATTATAAAGATAAATATAATTTATTTATTTCATATATACAATATGGATGTCAAATCGAAGATCATCAAAAGATGATTAATTTGATATATTATATATGTAAAACCGATAATAAATACATAAGTTATCAACTTTTAAAATACATTTATAATTCAATAACTTATTGAATGAAGCAAATCAAAATTCATAGATATATTAGTCACTTAGTGCCTCACTATGTAAAATTACAAAGAATTAAAGGATTATATTAGTAAAAGTGATATTAAAATACCTAAGTTAGCTAAATAATATTTATGGAATACCCGAACCTAGATAATTAATTATTAATATATCAATATTATTTGTCCAAACCTAATTACGAAGCATGATTCTTCGCCAAATAAGATTCTGAATCACCAGAAACAGTCACGTAGGCTCAGCGCATAAGGATTATAATTATTTAAAAGACCTAATTTCCTATATAATTTAATTCAGTCATAAAATAATTATAATCATAACCAAAAAAAAAAAAA